GTTGAAATCTCCCATAAGGACAAGGGCTACCGATCCTGGAATTTCTCCTAATTGCCTATAGAATAACTCACCAGTGCTTACCTCCTGGCTGGGCGATCAGTAGTAGACACCCACTACAACATCTCCTTTGTTTTCCATCGCCCTAATCCTCACCCAGAGGCTCTCAACCACACCATCACCAAGGGCTGTACAGTCAAACCTCTCCCGTACGTATAGTGCGACACCTCCACCTCACCTGCCCTGCCTATCCCTCCTGAATGGCCTGTAGCCCTCCATCCCTGCACTCCAATCGTGGGACTCATTCCATCAAGTCTCAGTAATACCAAGGATACCATAGCTCTGGGAGCTGACCAGCGCTTCCAGTTCATCCTGTTTGTTTCTCATACTGCATGCACTGGCATACAAGCATTTCAGATACGCTCCTGAGGTCTCCCTGCTCCCAGGAGCAGTTTAAATGTTCCCACTAGCATTGCCACCCTCAGGTGATGCCATGCCAACCGTTGGCTTACCAACTCCAATCCTGTTGGTATCCCCTCCCCGCATCGATACTAGTTTAAAGCTTTCTCGATCAGCCCTACCAGTTTATGCCCAAAGACACATTTTCCCCATCAGAACAGGTGGATCCCATCAGGACCCAGCCTACCTTGTCTCTCAAAGGCTCTTCCATGGTTTAAAACCCCAAAGTTTTGGTGCAGGCACCAGTCCTTGAGCCAGGTATTAATATCCTGGGCTCACTCCTAGCTTCTAGGAAGATCTGTTCCATGGTCTTCCCAGGCACAGAGGGGAGGCTGGCAGGAATCTTTCACTAGACCAGGTTGCTCAAAGCCCTGGTCAACCTGGCCTTGAAGACTGCCAGGGATGGGGCATCCACACCTTCTCTGGGCAACCTGCTCCAGTGTCTCACCACCCTCAGCCTGCCCTCATGTGCCATGTGCCCTGGCCCCTCACCATCTCGAAGGCCCTGGGCTGGACCCACACCCCACGCGTCAGTGTCTTTCCTGGTCTGGGGAGACCAGGAGGGGACAGAGGAGTCCAGACGCAGTCGCCAAAGTACCAAACAAGAGAGGAGGAAAGCATTTTTACTGTTGTTTTCTCGGTTTATTGTTTCGGGTTTGTTTAAAATTGTTTACTGCCCAACCTTGAAAGGAGCTCCTCTTGAAGCACCTAGAAGGGACCTTCATGCTGAAGGCCAGCACTTCTTCCTGGCAGAGCTGCAGTCTTCTGCTTCTCCAAAGGAACGGTTGTCTAACTAACTCCTGTGCTTGATCTGTTGCTATTCTTTGTGCACCACCGCAGAGGGTCTGGCTTCACCTTCAGCCACCCATCCGGCAACCTTCTTGTCTTCAGACTGAAGAAAGCCCACCTCCAGGCCCAGGGATCTCGGTGGCCCTCTGAGGGACAGCTCCTGTCGCCCCGGCACAGCAGCCTGGTGGAAGCCAGGTCATCTCATCCCCTTTTCGTGGGGCTCAGAGCAGAGATGGCCCCCCTTCAGGAAGGGTGGGGGTGAGGGGTGGAATGGGAAAGACGGGCTCACCCCACCCATGGCACTCAACAAAATAATTGTTGGTGCTGGGAGATGGAACGGGTGAGCCCACTGGATGGCCACGCGTGGAGGCTGGGCCTCCCGGCTAACGGCGGGTGCGGTGGCTGGGCCGATGGTAGGGCGCTGACCGGGTGTTCCTGCGACGCCGCTGCCACGGGGTCATGGAGGGGAGCCCTGGCACGGTGTGGTGGTGCCAGGGGAGCCA